GGGGTTGATGAGGGGTTCCGGATTTAGGAGCTTAGGATTTAGGGGTTAGGATGTTTTTTTGGGGGTTTAGGGGTTTGTGACGTTTTGTAGATGGCTCTACAACGTTGTCCTAAGTTCAGATTCTTATAAAATACCAAAGTGTGAGTCTTGGATGCTTTCCGGCGCATCAGGTTGGCTTTGAAGGGTTTAAGGTTTAGGGTGTATGGCTTTTCGGTATGGTGTTAAATAGAGTGACTTCGATGAAGGTGATGATTGTGATGATGATGTTGTCGGCGGCGATTGAGGAGGAGGAGGTGCTGATGAGAGATGTTACCAGGGCAACTAAAACCTAGACGGTTCTTGTGACCCCTGCTGCTTTACTTCAGCTTCCCCACGAAAGTGCAAATCTACTGCTGACCTCCCCCCCTGAGGGTTTAGGGTTCAGGCTTTGGGCTTTAGGACGGTTCAGGGCAAAGTTTAGGGTTTATGGATTAGGGTTTAGGGTTTGCGGATTAGGGTTTAGAGTTTAGGGTTTAGGCGTTTAGGGTTTAGGGCCGGAGCCAGTTTGACATTGAAGCCGGTTCCAGGTTCGACGGCTGAAGGAGCTTCTGGGTTTGAGGGAGTGACCCTAAACCGTCGACCCTTGGACCCTAAAGCCCTAAACCCCTAAAGCCCTAAACCCCTAAACCCCTAAAGCCCTAAAGGCCTAAAGCCCTAAAGCCCTAAACCCCTAAAGGCCTAAGCCCCTGAACCCCTAAACCCCTAAACCCCTAAACCCCTAAACCCCTAAAGCCCTAAACCCCTAAACCCCCAAAGCCCTAAAGCCCTAAACCCCTAGCCATAAAGCCCTAAACCCCTAAAGCCCTAAAGCCCCAAAGCCCTAAAGCCCTAATGCCCTAAAGCCCTTAAACCCCTTCGGCAGCAGGCTGCTCAAGGTTCCTAAGGCAGTGTGTACCTTGACATCCGAACTCCGAACCCAATGTTATGTTAGGGTTTAGGGTTTAGGGTTAGGGTTTAGTGTTTAGGGTTTGGGTTTAGGGTAGGGTTTAGGGTTTGGGGTTTAGGGTTTAGGGTTTGGGGTTTAGGATTTAGGGTTTAGGGTTTGCAGGGGCCACTTTCGGCTTTAGCAGAAAGGCGACTACATGCATCACTATCTCAGAAGCTCGGCGTTCTAGTTAGCACCTTTGCCCTGAGCCTGTTGCCTTCTGCCTGAGTCCTTAACAGCCCCGGCTTCGGGTTGGGGGTTTAGGGTTGAGGGTCTGCAGAACCCGACCAAGGCAGGCAAGCGCGGGAACTGCATAGTAGTTTCCGACGACACGGCGACACAGGAGGCATCCCGGTTAGTTCCTGGTTCGAGATTGCCGGGTTTTGATACTTCTTGAGAACCAGGGGACAAGGGAGATTCTAGAAGAATGACAAGAACAACCATTGTGACAGGGCTTGGGCTTCTGGTCACGATAGCACGAGTGAGAATCGCTGTGGTAGCCATGCCACCGAAGATCGTGTTTTGGGTTGATCAAGACGGACGTGAGTCATCGCATCAGCCATTAAAAACAAAGGTTGGTTGTGTAATACTCGAGACCTTGAAGTTCGGATCCCTCTTAGAATCCTGAAAGCATTGTAAGGGAGGGGTCAACATTAGCAAGAAACCCCTGAACCCCCAAACCCCTAAACCGCTAAACCCCTAAATGCCGAACCCTAACCCCCCTAAACCTCAAACCCTGGCCTTTAAAGGCTTGCAGACCGAGGGCCATGCCTTAGGGGGTTCAGGTTTAGGGTTTGGGGTTCAGGGTTTAGGGTCTAGGGTTTGGGGTTTAGGGTTTTGGGTTTCGGGTTTGCACGGCCGAGCAGGTTAGACTAGAGAGAAAGAAGACTCTCAAGCTACTGTGAACCCGAAGCCTTGGAATCTGAATCCTTAGGATTTGGAGTTTAGGGTTTAGCTTCAACCACAACCAAAGTCAAGGGCCGTGGGCCTGCCACCTCCTCGAGCGCAGCGGCCAGGGAGTCAGCCGCCTCGAAAGCCGCGGAGCAGCGCGACCATTTGATTCTTAGGGTCTAGGGGGTCGAGTTTAGGGTTTGGGTTTAGGGTTGAGGTAGGAATAATGTAATGTGATATAACACAACGTAACATAACATAATACAATATAGCTTAAGTATATAATAGGGTATAATACAAGATAAGATAAGATCAGATAATATCGTATAGTATAGTCTAGTACAGTAGCATAGTAGGGTATCTAGTATAGTATAGTAAAGTATAATATATAATACCATATGCTATAATAGTGGTGTTTTTGTTTTGAGGTTACGGGTACCGGGCTGCTGGTTCAGGCTTTAGGGTTCCGCATCTGGTTTAGGGTTTAGGGTTTCGAGCAAGGATGCTCGCATTTGCAGGTCGTCATTTGGTGTTGTGTCGGTTTCAGTCTGCCGGCGGTGTGGTTAAAGGCAGCCCTAGGCGCTGCATCCCCGAAACTCTAAATCCCAGAAGCCGCTCAATAACGTAGGGGATAGGTAGGTTCTGGATTCTGGATGTTTACTTAAAGGATCATTGGACTTATCACCCCCCGATTAAGGTGCTATTGCCTTACTTACTAGGTCTCACGATCCTCCAAGCAGGGTTTAAGGGTTTTGGGTCTGTCAAGCTCGGAGTTGCAGTAGGAAATTCGGAGCCAAACGGAGGTGGAAGCTTCCCTAAACCCTAAACCCTCAACCCTAAACCCTAAACCCTAAACCCTCAATAGAGACTTTGGGCTTAGGGCTTAGAGACGAAGGTGCCCTCAGCTCTTTAGGGTTTTAGGGTTTAGGGTAGATCCCAAGCTCTGAACCCAGCGTAAGCCTTCTCAAAGCAAAAACCCTCAACCCCAAAGTGGAAACCCTGCACCCTAAACCCTGCACCCTAAACCCCAAACCCCAAACCCTAAACCCTAAACGCTGGATGAGCTCTTCACTTGGGCGTAGCTTCGTGGTGAGGCTCAGCTGCGATGACGAGGCACCGGCCTTGAAGCTATTTGGCTAATATGGGATCCTCACGATTTAGGGGTTTAGGGTTTGGAGTTTAGGGTGTAAAGTTTGGGGTTTTGGGGTTTAGAGTTTAGGGTTTGGGGTTTAGAGTGTGGGGTTTAGGGTGCAGGGTTTAGGGTTTAGAGTTTAGGGTTTCTATTTCTCGGGGGTCCCTTATTATAATTAGACGATAAAGGAGCCCAAAACCCTATTCTTATTATGAAGGCCCCTGCATTATGACTTTTCAGGCAAGCCTGTAGCAAGGGGGGTTTAAGTTTAGGGTTTGGGGTTTAGGGTTTAAGGGCTTCAATTTAAGTTACCATAATGGGGATCTATATATATATATACACACACACATACATACAGGGTTTCCTTATTATAGTTCTTCCCTTTTTCATCCATGTTCTTTGGGGTTTGGCCCAAAATCCCTGAGCCCTAGGCTCAGACGGATCTCACAACGTCCCACTCCCCCGATCCACCTTAAATCCGAAGCCTAAGACAGTCTAGGGATCAGGGTTTAGGGTCTCATGGGTGATAGGTGGAAGTTCCAAGTACTTTAATCCGGGTCAGAAGTGGGAATGACTACAGCTGCCTTGCTGGTAGCCACGCCTATTACAGTCCTCCCATCCTTGGGGACACCCGCAGCCCGCACACCAAAGCCCACTCTATCCTGAAGTAAAGGGACATACACCCTAAACCCTAAACCCTAAACCCTAAATCCTAATCGCACCCGAGTTCACCGACCCAAACAACCTCATCGGCCAGGCCCCAGGGCTCGGTGCCTTCAGTCCAAAACGAAAACCTTGTGCCTGAACCAAAAACTCTAAATCAAAGCATAAGCCTCGTGCACTGAAATCTCTCAACCCTATACCCCGAAACTTCTACCGCAAATCTGGAGCCATAAGCCCTAGCCCTAAACCCTAAA